GCCCCTGCCTCGGGTCCCGCCGTCCGCGCCCTGGCCGCAGCCTTCGGGCCGCTGCTGCTGCGCGCACCGCCAGCTTCGAAGCCGCCAGGGGGCGCCCTGCCCGAAGGGTGAGTGGGCGGGGCCTTGGTGGGCGGGGCTTTCCCGGGGTTATCCCGGGCCGGAGGGGCTGGTCTGGGGTGGAAGCTGAGCTGCCCTCGCCCGACGCCGGGACTGGAGAGGTGAGGGCCAGGCTGCGGGTCTTGGGGCGCAGGCTGAGGGGCTCAGCGAAGGGCCGGCCTGTGGTTGGGCCGGCCTTCGGTCTGCTCGCCCTCCGCCCCGGTGTTGGCGGCCTTCGCTTGTGTGCTCAGGCGGCGCCTCCTGCGCTCACCTGCTCTGCGCGTCCACCTGTCCCCCGGCGCCTCCCCGCACGCACGCATGCGCACCCCCTGCCCAGCGGTCACCGCCCTCCTCCCGCAGGACCGAAGCCAGCCCGGACTTCCCGGCGCTGCTGCTGGAGAAGCTACTGCAGGAACATCTGGAGGAGCAGGAGGCCGCGCCCCCAGGTGACCCCGTGCTGTGCCCAGTCTCTCGAGCCGGGGCCTTGAATGCCGACTCCCGGGCTGTGCCGAGGCCGCAGCCCTGCTGCACTGGCAGGCAGCCGCGGTATACAGCCGGTGCCTGACACAGGCCGTGTCCCTCCCCCCAGCCCTGCCGCCGAAGCCCTCCAAGGCGAAGCCGGCGGCCCCAGTCCTGGCCAACGGGGGCAGCCCGCCCTCCCTGCAGGACGCTGAGTGGTATTGGGGTGACATCTCCAGGTAAGGACGGCACGGGCGAGTGGGCGTGGACCCGGCCGTGGAGTGGCGACTCAGCGCTGTCCCCACAGGGAGGAGGTGAACGAGAAACTCCGAGACACGCCCGATGGCACCTTCCTGGTCCGCGATGCGTCCAGCAAGATCCAGGGGGAGTATACGCTCACCCTCAGGTGGGCCTGCGGGCGGGGCGGGCCCGGGGTGGGGCTGGCCGGCTTGGACGGCGCCCACACTGCACTCCCTCCAGGAAGGGCGGCAACAACAAGCTGATCAAGGTGTTCCACCGCGACGGCCACTACGGCTTCTCGGAGCCGCTGACCTTCCGCTCCGTGGTGGACCTCATCACGCACTACCGCCACGAGTCGCTGGCCCAGTACAATGCCAAGCTGGACACGCGGCTACTCTACCCCGTGTCGCGGCTGCAGCAGGACCAGGTGGTCAAGGAGGACAGCGTGGAGGCCGTGGGCGCCCAGCTCAAGGTCTACCACCAGCAGTACCAGGACAAGAGCCGCGAGTACGACCAGCTTTACGAGGAGTACACGCGCACCTCGCAGGTGGGGGCCGCCAGGGCAACTGAGGCACGGGCCCGCGTGCCCAGGGGCGCGGGTGTGCTTTGTTCCCTTGGTGCTCCCGGTCCTGGGGGTGGAACCCAGAGCCTTCCCGCTGAGCTGCATCCCAGCGCTCTTTAATGTTAGGCGGGTTCTGACCTCTAAAGCTCCTGCCCGCGGAGTAGTGGGGAGCTCAGGTGTGCACCGCTCTGCTCAGCCTGGACCTCGTTTTAAAAGCTACGAAGCCAAAGCCGGGCGCAGTGCTCCAACCTGTGATACCAGCACTCAGCAGGCTGAAACAGGAGGATCACCTCGAGTTGAAGGCCAGCCTGGGTGACATAGGGAGACCCAGTCTTAGAAAATAAAAGCTGGGTACAGAGATGCACTCCTATAGTCACAGAATCACAGCCGTTGAGGAGGCTGAGGCAGGAGGATCAGAAGTGTGCACCAAGGCAGGCCATTTAGCGAGTTAGCAAGGCCCTATCTCACATTCAAAACCTGGGCTGGGGATGTAGCTCAGTGCAAAGGCCCTGGGTTCAGTTCTCAGTCCTGCAAAAACAAAAATTCCCAGAGGAACATTGTGACCTCAGAAGTGACTTAGACAGTTCTACTCCCCAGAAGTTCTGGGGAAACCCCATGAGGTAATGCATGGGGAGTGTTGGGTGCAGCGTCTGCCCCGAGAGGCAGCCCCATGAGCTGTAGCGGAGAGACTCGCCATCATTCTCCCGCATGGTCACAAGGGGAGTAAAGGGAGGGAAGGGGCCGGGGTGGGGTTTTGAAGTCTGTGTAGGAGTTCATGCCCCACAGCAGGCAGTAAAGGAGTAATGTCCCTGGCTGTGAGATGGCTTTGCCTCCCCTCTTCCCCCAGGAGCTGCAGATGAAGCGCACAGCAATCGAGGCGTTCAACGAGACAATTAAGATCTTCGAGGAGCAGGGCCAGACCCAGGAGCGGTGCAGCAAGGAATATCTGGAGCGCTTCCGGCGCGAGGGCAACGAGAAGGAGATGCAGCGGTGAGTCTGCCCTGGGCGGGCGCAGCGCCCCTCAGGAAGGTAGGAGGGTGGCGGCTGGCGTTCTCCTTGGCGCGGAAAGACGGCCCGCAGAAACAGGCTTTGAAGGCTGCCCAGGAGTTTGCCAGAGAGATGTCGGGCAGCAGTGTCTCTTGAGGCTTCTCTCTGAGCTGGCCCTTCCCCAGGATCCTGCTCAACTCCGAACGGCTCAAGTCCCGCATCGCCGAGATCCACGAGAGCCGCACGAAGCTGGAGCAGGACCTGCGGGCTCAGGCCTTGGACAACCGCGAGATCGACAAGCGCATGAACAGCCTCAAGCCTGACCTCCTGCAGCTGCGCAAGATCCGCGACCAGTATCTCCTGTGAGTGCCGCGCTCTCCCGCCAGGGGGCGCCCGAGCCGCCCTGCTCCGCCGCTCCTGTCAATCAGGCCCCAGCCAGCTGCCCAGTTGCGTAGGAGGCCGAGGCAGGCAGTTCACCACTTGGAGCCTGTGGCAAAATAAAAACTGCTGGGGTGTGGCCTCGCTCCTGCCTCTGCCGCCCTTGGGAGGCATACCCTGCGGGGGGTCTGGGGGTTCCGGGCTGTGACATCCAGGACTGTGCTCTGGCCCTGCGGCCCTCTGCTTTTCTGCACGAGATGAAGAGCCACAGGTCACCCTTCCTCTTCCTCCCAGGTGGCTCACCCAGAAAGGTACCCGGCAGAAGAAGATCAATGAATGGCTGGGGATCAAAAATGAGACTGAGGAGTGAGTGGCCCCCTAGGGCGCAGGCAGTGCTGCTTGGCAGGGGGGGTCATTTGGGGCGGATTTTGAAGGATGACTAGGAGTTCTCCGGGTAGTGCTGCTAGCCGAGGGGTGAGCAGGCCCCTGTGCACCTTCCCCGCAGCCACTATGCACTGATGGACGACGAGGATGACCTCCCCCACCACGAGGAGCGCACGTGGTATGTGGGCAAGATCAACCGCACGCAGGCCGAGGGCATGCTGAGCGGCAAGAGGGACGGCACGTTCCTCATCCGGGAGAGCAGCCAGCGGGGCTGCTACGCCTGCTCCGTGGTGTGAGTGCACTCGTTCGGCGCCGGCCGCGCGCGGCCTCCCTGCGCTGGGGCGCGGAGCCCGGGCTGGGAGGAGGCGCCGCTGAGCCCCGCCGTGTCTCCTGCCCACAGGGTGGACGGGGACACCAAGCACTGCGTCATCTACCGCACGGCGACCGGCTTCGGCTTCGCGGAGCCCTACAACCTGTACGGGTCGCTGAAGGAGCTGGTGCTGCACTACCAGCACGCGTCCCTGGTGCAGCACAACGACGCGCTCGCCGTCACGCTGGCGCACCCCGTGCGCGCGCCCGGCCCGCCGC